AGAAAGAGATTAAGACAGAGTACACATCACATAATTAAATACACCAAAAAGAAAAAGAACCAAAAACATTAGAGGCATATTTTAATAACTAAACATATTATCCTCTCACAACCAGCAAACAATCAAATCTTAGTATATAACTAGTCAATACTTGTTTGAATTCTTTGGTTGCACTCTAAGCCTTCAATAGCTCCAAATTTAACCATGTATCTTAATCTCCTATCACTCTTTCTCTTTATCCTTCCATACACTCTCCAAATCACAAATGGCTTCACCTTAACCCTCACCCACAGAGACTCCCCACAATCCCCTCTTTACACCCCAAACCTCAGCAACAACTCATATCATTTTGAAGGCAAAAAAATACATAACATGGTCAACATCATTTATCAAACCAAGCAGGTCGGGCAGTAAAGAGTTCCATATGAAATGTTATCTTCATTCTATCTATTTCTAAAGAAAAACAAGTACCGTTATTTTATAAAATAAGGTTCGTTATATGTATTGCGACACTGCAACGAGAGTGCTTTCATTATATTGTAATATATAACTAAGGTATAATCATTAACAAAGTATTCCATCGACCGGGGAGGAAAATAAAATAATATCGAGAGTACATTCGTTATAATCTATTGCATAACGTAGGTACAAATATTACAAACATTCAAACTAAATATATTGATTGCTTCAAAGTATACAACAATTAGCATACCCAATTACTATCAACTTAATAATACAAGCATTTCATCAAACACATAGTGTACACCTATTACCATTTTCACTTTCATCAAAACTATCAAAATAAGATGAATTCACATAACACAATCAAAAATTTTGCTCCACGAATATCAAAGGCCCAAACACAAGGAAATTAAGTAAAAGAAGAAACTGACAAAAACTAAAAAAAAAAACCAAACATGTACCGATATTGACGGGAAGAGCGAGCTCCATAGAGATTGGGCGCGAGAGAGGACAAGAGAGGAGGTCGACGGAGAGAGGGAGGTCGGACGAGAGAGAGAAGGACGGACGAGAGACACCAGAGAGGAGGTCGACAGTTGCTGCGTGCGGGAAATTGTCGGAGAAGAATGAAGAAGGAAAAATGAAGAAGGAAGAAGGAAATACCCTTTTATTGTGTTAAGGGTATATCAATAAATGTCTATTTAATATGATTAGTTATTTATTTTAATTGTAGCATTTTGGTCAAGGGTCCCACTTAAACAAATTCTGTTCTTCACAGGGTCATTTGGAGGAATTTCCACGGCGTTAGGGTTGATTCATTCACCCCAAAATTGTTCTCACATCATTCTTCTCCAAGCAGGCGGCAGAAACAGAGGAGAATATCTCCGCAGCCATGGACAACAACATAATATCTCAACTGCCAATACCTATACTTCACCACATTCTCTGTTTCCTCTCCCAGAAAGAAGCTCTGAGAACATGTCTCCTCTCCAAACAATGGCGCCACATGGGAACAACCCGCCCAAACCTCGACTTCTCCGAAGAATGGTTCGACAACACACAAGAAAAGTTTGTCTCCGTCGTCGACCGAACCCTACAAGGATACAGTAATCAAAACCTCTCCATACACAAACTCCATCTCCACTTATCGAGGTTCTCACCACCTGTCATCTCCCTTCTCGACAAATGGATCCCGATGGTACTCGCCCTCAACATAAAGTCGTTCAAACTCAACTTTTGTTCATTCACTCTGGCGTATTACGACCTGCCGTCAGCAGTCTTCTTAGCCGAGTCCCTCGAAGAACTACACCTGGGGCAATGCAGGTTGAGCCCGGTCGAGAGCGTGCGGTTTAAAAGTCTGCACACACTCACCCTCGAACTGGTCCAAATTGATGACGGAACTTTGGAGAAGATAAGGTCGGGTAGCCCTTTGCTCAGGCGCCTGGTCCTTAAAGACTGTTCGGAGTTGAGAAACGTTAGGCTGAGCGAGGTGGCATCACCTGAGCTCAACCACTTTGAATTGAATAATATCCAGACGATCGAAGGGCGTAGCATTGAAATCCATGTCCCCAATATTGAGACGGTTTCCATCTTGGGCCGATGGATTTGGTCTCAACGCCAAAGCATATTCTTGTTTTCTCGTCTCACGAGATTGCATCTCTGTGCTGTGATCCTGTCGAGCGAGTCGTTCGACTTGTTATCGTTCGGCTGCCCAACTCTTGCGAGTTTGACCCTACGTGATTGCTCTGGTTTTGAGGAATTCCATCTTGCAAGTGATTCCGTCAAGTACTTGTGCATCTCGACCTGCGAAAAATTTCTTAAAAGAGTTACGATTTGTGCTCCCAACATTCTCGAATTTACGTTCACTGCCAGTATTCCCCATGCGCCGGACACATTCTCTTTCACGACACATTCTCAGTTTTGGTACTCAAAAGTAATCATCTCTTCGTATGTGAATGATCCCGATTTCGACTTCACTTGGTGGTTCTTTAAGCTGAGACGAGTTCTCAAGGCACTAAGTGGCTCTCAGATTTCTCTGATTCTGCAGATGTACAGCGACATTCATCTGGACATGCCATGTGGTGTTGTTGATGGCAGTCGTCTTCTCAGTGAAGAGCCGCCTGTGGTGTTGATGAACTTGGAATTTACAACTTCTAAATGTCACACGGAATCTTGGTACTCGGACTTTATGAGTGATTTGTTTCGTGTTTGTCGACCGAGTCACGTATGGGATTGTAGGCCCGTGAGCCAGTCGGACAGGAACAGCCACAGGCTCTCAGAGTTTCAGTTCAACATCTTGCTTGCAAACACGAGCCTGAGGACTGAGACCTACTTTTGGCGGCACGATTTGGAGCAATTGCACGTGAAAACTGCCAATGGACAGCTCGTTCAGTGGACGGACCTTTCAGAATTGCGAAACAGAACGTATGACGGGAAAGTATGCCTTGAGTTGAAATGGAGAGATTAGAAGACGGCATAAGTACTGCAAACTACCTACGCACTCTTGCTTTTCTTGAAACTTAAAATTTATCCAGTTTTTTTCTCTCTCTAGTTTAAGGCCTAGGCCTATTTTGTGTGCTGTGAGTGTTATGAAGTCAGGTTCAGGATCTGGTCAAGTGCTTGATATTAGAATAGGTTGCCAAAAAAAAAAAAAAAATT